TATCTACGGAGACTCGAGAGACTCTATGTGGTGATTTCTTGTAACCGTGAACGAATCAAAAGACGAGATAAGACTAACGAGAACATTTGTTAGCTTACATACATCCGACTTGGATTTTACATAAATTGCGAAATTATACCTCAACTTATGCGAATTCGACTTACGCGGTTATCGCTCAGTTCCATCTATCGCGTAAGTTCGGGGTATTACTGTATATTATATTCACATTTTATTCACTAAGTTATTGCAACAATGATATAACGCGAAATAGACGCGCCATAATTGCGACAGGTAGCACATAACACTTGCCTGCATGGAGTAAAGTAGTGTTTTGCCCTCTACATTATACTTTCCGTGTTAATAATAGAGTGGTGCCGGTTATATATCGAACTCCGTTAGGAGAATAATTTTTGAAGTGAAATAACGTGATTTATCGGATGTTCTTATATAGTTAATCTGGTTTCCTCTCTCTTGCGATTTCCAAGTTTGGTCTCGACTTTCATTTATGTAACAGGAGCGGACTGGCCATATGGAAAATGTGGAAAATTCCACATGGGCCGTATACAATTTGGGCCGTTTTTTTTATAAATATGTACATAATGTACCGTTTGGTTAAGTTTAATTTTAAAAAATTCATTTATTTTTTTTTGTTAAGTAAGGTAAATTTCAATTTTTAGGTATAATATAGGTATATGTGTAGGCCTGTATCATTTTACCCGGCCCCACCCGTATCCGAAGCTAAATTAGTTCAGCCGATCTGAGTTAAACACCACATTAGCCCGATTCGGCCCAAACAGAAAGCATCCTAGGAGAAAAATAATCAAAACTACTTTCTAAACAGAGAAAATTGGTCATTTGTTTACATTGCTAGAAACTGTTCACCACTCCTATGAATCTTAATGCTAAACTATAAAAATGCAAGTTATTAGTTTTGTACCTACCTAGCCACCAAAGCAATGATTGTAGTCATAACAAATTTAATGGCCACTTATATTATTTCCTTTATTTTAGGCAAGTAAAAAATGTTATTCAATAATAATGTCTCTGTATTCCAAACGATTTAATTAAAAATAATCTATTTTGTAGTGTGAGGCCGGGACCTCATCCCCTCTCCAATAGGAAACTGGTTGTCGAGCTAAAGCTAATAAATCGGTGATTTATTTCGTAAACAAGAACGAGTGTAAGACGATTTAATTGTCGCATTCCCGGACCAAATTCACACGTCTTCGATCTAGATCAGGGAAGGTGGGAGAGAGAGCAACCGGGGAGAGTTCGACTGTCATCTTACAGCGAGTTCAAAGCACATTAGACCAAAATTTACGGGACCATCACTAAATATTCCTGAAAACGCATTTCAAAAATTAAGCAGTATTTTAATACAGTTTAATCCAGTAGCTACTCAACACAATATTATTTCAGAATTGCAACATTTTAAATCGTCATGGAATATTTTAAAGGAAAATGTCAATGAAACTTTTATAAAATTAAACGAAAATGAACATTCTACTGATGATCAAGTAGAAACTAATAAAGATGCGATTTTATCCTCTTACTGCATTGCTTGCAAAAATTGCTCTATTTGTTGTTATAATATATTATTCAGATATAACATGTTAAGTGGCGCTTATTCTATACTTGGTCAAGCATACAAATATCTGCTATCTATGTCTGTAACACAAGTGTCCGGTGAACAAAGCTTTTCTATGTTAAAATTAATTAAAAGCAGGCTAAGATACTTATAAGTATCTCGCAAGAAAATCTAGAAGCCTTCGTGTTAATGTCAGTGGAGAAGGATTTTTTAAACGAAATACATTCTGATGATGTCATTAATATTATTGCTCAACAAAGCAAACTTCTAAATAAAAAATTAATATTGTAGAATATAGACTTGTGCTTATTGTAATTTTTGTCAATGTTGTATTTTGAATATATTTAAATATAAATAGAAAAAAATATATTTTTTTATTTGTGGGCTGGTCTGGTAATAATTTTCCACACAAAAATTTTAGGACCAGTCCGCCCCTGATATCTAACTCCGTTTTCGAGATTAAGAAAGGACAGAAATAGAAGGATGAAAATGGAAATTTATAGGTCTACAGTTTTTTGAAATTGTAGCCCACTAAGTTCCCTCCAGTAACCGAGTGGATAAAACCACCGAACACCGATAGTCGGTAATGGGTTCGCGCATGGCCAACGGACTGGCCACGTTTTGGAGTTTTCTGTGTTTTCTTCGTGTTAGTAAGACAAACTGGAGCCGGCTTTACATAAAAGTATTTCCGGGATGTATCCTCCTTGGTAGATGGATCGCGTGTCGCGTTTCCGAAACCAAATAAACCAAACCAATTCTAATACAGTAGTTTTTCTATAAATGCGATATTTACCAGGAAACGGACATCCCGTACTCTACCCTGATTTCATCTCCCCTTACTAACTCATAAATCCATAGCCAGAAATTTCTCTCTTTGATACTGCTTAAGCGGTTCTAACGTTCAGCCAAATTAATGTACTGTACAGTACTGTACGTGCCACGACTTTACGGCACAAAGTAGAGCTGGAAGTATTTTTCTGTCGATGTTTATATTTCCTATATTTCGTGGCGACATTACTTCATTCAAAATTTCCAGTAGTTTGTATGCACTTTATTCATACGTTGAGTCTTACTGTCAAATCTTCCAGTATGCTTTTGCCACAATTTTCAAAACTACTCGGACATTTCTGCCGAATTTTAGTTTTTCAACCCATTTTCACCTGTTTTTTACGGTATGACATAAAAGTAAATATTCTCGCATTTTTACAAGATTTCTTTATTTAAACAAGTCTTATATCAAGTCTTTCAGACGTTGAGGTTAGCAACTTCGATCACATGCGTGGCCATCACAACCCGTCTAATACGGATCACTTTTCAAATATTAATAGTAGGCCAGTATTAAATAGTAGTGGTTGATAATTTTCTCTTCCGGGAGAAGAACAAGTATTACTTTTGGTCTTATTACTCCAATCCCCTTATCAACAGTTCCTTATTTCCATAGGACCAGCGGTATGGTGTCATTCGAATAGGAAAATTCCTTAATACGAGGTTACCGACCTGTACAAAATATGTTTTACTTGGTTTTCCAGGGTGCCGAGTTTAAATATTTGGTCCGTTTTTCTCAAAATTTGATTGGTTGGCTGATGACTATTTGATATTCGTTTATTAGTGCCAACATTAGAAGAGCGATAGCTTTTATATTATTTATGCCAAGCTATATTCCCTGGCAATCGACTTGGCTACGGTGAAATGCTTCGGTCTTTTCGGCTTTTCGAATCTTCAAAATGTCTTATTGCAGACGGCAATGATCTGTAATCCAGTCGATGTTTCAAACCCCTAAAATGATTCGCCGATAGAGACTCGCTCGTCCATTGGCCGCGACTACTAACGCCGCGCATTCNTGCCGAGTTTAAATATTTGGTCCGTTTTTCTCAAAATTTGATTGGTTGGCTGATGACTATTTGATATTCGTTTATTAGTGCCAACATTAGAAGAGAATTTTAAAGTTTTTAGGATATCGTATTTTCAATTGGTGTCTACTTGCCATTGAAATTGTATCATTTTGTACTATCCGAATATGGCGATAAACTTGACAATGGTAGGCTGAAATAACTAAATTCTTTATATGGTTCTCGTTTTAATGTTTGTTATATTATAGTATTCAATTTATATTTATAAAGATTATCTTACGTAAGGGTTTATTACAACGAGTGACCGATCTAACACGTTTTAAAAATTTTCTTTCTCTGCTGTACAAAATTTAAAGATTTTTTAAAATACATTAGATTGGTCACTGGGTGTTATAAACCGTTACGTAAGATAATCTTTGTAAATATAAATTGAATATTATAATATAATATTATAGAAGGGTTAGAAGTACGAAATAATCTTAATGTTTGTTGTTATTTTTTATCCCGGAAACGACGGGCGGCTTATCTGCTATTACAACTACAATACGAATTAATCAATTTATAATAAAAAGTTCGTTTTGAATTTCGTGTCTTTTTTTGTTCTAATGTATATAAATGCGCGTAAATGTGTTTCTTAATTACAAAATCGTTTTAAAATGTTTCAGATTACAAAATGTTTAACTGGTTTTTTAGAAAATATTACTTAGGTTTACCGGTGGATCAATAGAAGGAATGGTGATTTTTATAAAGAAAAAAAATTTGAATTTTATCCATTGTTTGTCGCTGATACATAGCCAAACGATATCCATAAATACTCGGGCTATAAATGCGCTATTTTATTAATTAATACAGTACTAAGTAATTTCTACTAGAGGTAGACGTTAGGCGCCATCTCTTCTTTAAGTTAAAAATTATAATTTAAATAATTTAGAATCACGTGGAAGAAAAGAAGGCGATCGTTTGGCTATGTATATATATCGGGCCTAGGGTTGTTTAATATACTTATCCGTTCGTCTCTTATTTTATCGCCCACACGTCCTGCGCCGATGGACGGTGTTCCGAAAAGCTTCGTGGCGTAAAACTCGTCTTCCGGGCAGATCCGTAAAGTGGCTAAACCAGACGAAGACGGGGTAAACCCTTCGTAGACTCTCCGGCCGTTCCGCGGAGTGTGTTAAGCGCGGAAGAAGGTTCCGTTTGTCTTTGGCAGCGGGAGAAGAGGCCAGGCGTAAAATGGGGGAAGTTTGAGACGGCGGGGAAAAAAGTTTTACGGTAGAGTCTGGTCAAAGGAATGGTACGGTGGAGGAGAATTTCCAGGGCGGAACGGGAGTTTTCTGCCGGACGGAATAGGAATGAAAGAAGAAAGGCCACCGTGCCAGCCGGAGTAAGAACGTGCGGACTGGAATGGTGGAGAAAGCGCGTTTTACTACTTGCCGCGCCGCTGGAAATTGCGAGAAGCGAAGGCGGCTTAAGGCAAGTCGGCCGAGGTCCTTTTAATTTTGGCCCGGCTCCCGGTCCGACGGGTGAACGAAGAGGGAATAAGAGAAGGAAAGAAAGAAACTTACCGTCTCTCCCGTCTGGCAGTCGGTCTCGGACGGACCGCAGGCCTCTTTCTCCATCAGATCCAGAGTGCAGACCTTTCTGGCCGCGTAGTTCCGATACTTCCTGCTCCTGGTCCTCAGCCCTCTGCCGCACGTGCTGCTGCATTCGGTCCACCGGCTCCAGGGCGACGTCTCGCAGCTGACGTCGCTGAAGACGAGAACCCGATTAGCGGATGAAATCTTTGGATGGCGGCAGATCGGTGGCCTACGGTACTTACCCCACGCACTCAGTCTCACAGGCAACTTTCTCTTCTAGCTGCAAGTCGCAGTCGACCGAAGGCGACCTCTGCTCCTCCTCGTACGACCTGACCCTGATCTGGTAACCCTGGCCGCAACTGACGCTGCACGGGCCGAACTCGGACCACGGGGTGGCGGCGCATTCTGTCCAACGAGAATCCCAGAAAGGAGTCGGTCTCTCCCCGTCTTCACCCGGACGGGAAAGGGACCGGGCTCCCCACCCGGAAAATCCGGAAGAGAGGACTTACCTGTGACGTTGCTGCTGGCTGCTAGAAAGACGAAAGAAAGCGTCAGTCGATGAGAAAAACAGAGAGGAAGCGGAAGATCTTTCGAAAACCGCGGCGGGGCACTTACGGATTCCGAGTCCGACGCGACGCTGGCCCGTATCGAAATATTTGCCACTCGATTCGGCTTTTCGGTCGAATATTATACAAAAAAGAACGTGGCAATTATTTTGTTAAATCACTGAAAGTATAGAGGAGAAGGTGGTATTATGGAACCCCAATTATATTTTAGTGAATTGTAAACAAGGTATCATAACTACATCCACATTTTTTTGTGCGAAAAGTACTGGTAACTATTAAACTAAATGTTCCTAATTGGATTTTTCACTGGTGTAACTATAAGTATGGTTTTTGAAAAATTCTGTACAAAAAGTCAGGAACTTCAAGAAAAGTCAGTTAGGGGAAACCGGGTGGTAATATGAAACCTTATATTCCAGCAGCTCTTTTTCGATATTCTCAGGAAGAATTGACTTTATACCTAGTGTCTTTTTCACAAATTGCTCCGGACGAATGTTTGCTTGCAAATTGAGAGTTCGGAGGAGTTGGGTTCCATATTAAAAGCACCAATGGAATCGCCATCTTGAATTAACTTATGTCTGCCAAGACCAAATTTTAAAAAACATGAACATCACACAGATTAATATGTACCCCTAAGTCTGTGGAACGGAATACATGCACCGATGAACCTACAACTACACGATTTATATTTTAAAAATAATTAAATCCATTTAGCATTCAAAACTTTCGAATTTTGAAAAACACAAATTTGATGATTCACTACGGACAAACGTTTAACTGAAGTAAAACGGGTTTTCCCCTTGCTATGGGTGTCTGCCTAGTTCAGTTCAGCCACAATCCGCTACAGTTCGCCTTTATTATCAGTTCGAAATGGAATGGTTCCATAATACCACCTTTTCCTCTACTCTTACTACTAACGATGTTTTATCCGTCGCTTAGTAATTAATCGGTGGCCAATGAAAAGGCCACAGGTTGCGACGCCATGCTCCCGAAGATACGACGGCCGTGGCCGATTTTCGTCATTTCGTTAACAAACTCGGTGGCCGAGTTCCGTCAAGTTTAGGAAGTGACGACGGAAATCGGTCGCGCCATCGCGCAATTCCGTCGGCGACCGAGACTAGAGGGAAGCCGCGGTTTTCGGCGTTTCTTCCGCTTCCGGTCACCCAGAAAAGACTTACGTCGGTCGACGTCGATGTCGGGCAGCAGGGTGAAGAGGTCTTGGTCGTCGCAGGATTTGTCGTAGACTCTCTGTCGTGTGACGGTCATCCTGGCCACGGGCTTGGTGGGGCTGCCGTTGGCGTTGTAAAAGGGGGAGTCGGGCTGGGCGCCCGTGATCCTCCTGATGCGTTCCTGTGGCACCGTCGGAGACTTGGGCGACTGCGTAAAAGCGTAAGAGCGATTATTGGACCGGCGAAAAACTGTTGCGGTGGGCGGAGAGTTACTCACGATGTAGGTGGTTCCGCTGTCGGTTCCAGCGTCCCACGGATAAAGATTCATGACCTTTTCCATGATCCAAGAACAGTTCTTGAGGCAGAGTTCCAGGGCGCTGACGCCCACGATCCAGTCGGGACTGGGACCCAGCATGCTCAGCAGAGACATCAGATGGTGATAGCGATCCACTCGGAAGACAGCGAAGGTTCTCCCGTTGACGTTTGGGTACCAAAGTCCTCGCGCCTTGATGATGGTGCGGATCTTGTTCGACTGTCGGTCCGAGGAGAAAAGCAATTCGGCATTCGGCCCCATACAAAATTCGAGGTTACTTTTCCAGTTACCCGGAAGGGAATTTCGGCACGGAAACGATCGTCGGCGGCGTTATCGTCTATGGAGTGTATTTTGCCAGTCGCGGGCCTACCGGTTCTATCGTGCCGCGGGCTTAGAACATTTAACAGACGATTTCCAGCACTTGCGGCACGTTTTGATTTAAAAGTTTGACGTAATACGCATATATTTTCCGAGTATTTATATATTTGTTGAATATTTTCCTAATTACCACTCCTTTCGTGTTTATCGTTGTTTCCAATTTCGGACGATAATAATTGCGGGAATGGGTTTATTTACTGCGCAATTCTTTTCTAAAATTTGCTTTCTTAATTTTATAAAGTAACCTTTTAATTACTTACAAAATTACCTTAATAATTGATAAATATTTGAGAGTGACAATTTATCCATCTCCCGCAACTGACTACAATTTTATATTCTCTGTTCGACCATCTCTTCTAAAAATAACGATCAATTATAATCCGGTAATAATAGGACGCTTCAATATTGATTTACTTAAAGACAACGCTACCGGTACGTGTGATTTAACAAACCTATGCCTTTCGGAAAATCTTATCATCCTGGCAGACATACCGACGGGATTTGATACAAGTTCTCCCACGTTACTTGACCCGAAGTTAATTAACGTACGGTACGTGAGACCGAATGTTTAATAACCAGAAATTAGTTTCTGACCACTTGCCTTTATCTTCAGTTCAGTTCTTTATTCCTCGGGTGAAGCAGTTATCATAAACATAAAGAAATAAACAACTCTTCGATTAACTTACTGCATAATGCGTTACAATTCTGCTTCTCTTGGAAGAACTTTTATATAAAAGAACAATTAACGGATTAATTATAATCTCTCCTATTGATATTTGTCGAAAATATCTCCCAATGAAAGAATTTAAGAAAAATAGTAAACCCAACAGGAAAATATTCCTATGACAATTCTTAACAAAAGATACCCGATCTTTAGTAAAACAGAAAAGGTCGGAAAAATAAAAGAAAAGTTGAAGAATACAGATAAATGTAATAAAACACTGGAAAATAAAAGATTTGTCTAAAGAAAACATCGGGCTGCAATTTTTAATCGTCTTAATCTCAAATTAGCAGTGTCTTGCCCCTGTACATCATACTTTTCCTCTTAACAATACAGTCATACCGGTCGTTCATCTATTCCGGAAAAAATTTCTCAAATGAATTCACGTGACTTCGGGTCTAGACTGGAAGTTCGTACGTAGTTAACCAGCCTCTTACCCGTAATTTTTCGGCATCTGGTCTCGACTCTTATCTATCTAACGCCTTTCCTGAGATTAAGGAAGGAAAGACAGAGAGGCGACAGTGGGAATTCATAGGCCTACAATTTTTTTTCAAATTGTAGCCCATTAATTAAGGAATAAAATACGAATTGAAGAAAATAATTATTATAATAATCTATTCCATAACATAAATTCATCGACCGAATTTTGGAGAAGTGTTAAACGATTGCCATCAAACATAGTAAAAAATCCAGTAGCGAGATGCTTAACTTTCCCGGCAACTTTTGATGGCGCCATCTGTTACGATATTTTATTTTAAAAACTTTTTATATTTTTAACTGTTAGAAATCGGAGAAGAGAGCCAACAAGATAAATTCTCCATATCAACCAAGAAATACAAATAGAACTATTATAAAATGGCAGAAAGCTTAACTTTGAGGGTTTTTTTTAAAAAAACTGTAAAGGTTAATAACCAGCAAAATCGTTATTTAAGTCCGACCGTATTAGATCCCCTTTATCTCCCTACTCTCTTGACCTTTTAAACACCCAAAATTTAATAGCATTAATTAAGAAACAAACCTCTCTGCAAAATTTCACAAATTTTCGACAAAAAGCGTGTGTTCGCTCTACACCCCTTCACCCAATTGTCACGAAACTCGGAAGATGCGTTCACATAATTCTAACTCGGACAATGTCTTATATCTTGCCCCAAAATATCGATTCGATTTCTATAAATGAATTAATTTCTATCCACATTCGATTTTCTGTCTTTATACGTAGCGCCATCTATTAGCCAACTAAAAATTTAAAAAACTAATAAACTAAATATACTGTATAANCCGTGTTAATAATAGAGTGGTGCCGGTTATATATCGAACTCCGTTAGGAGAATAATTTTTGAAGTGAAATAACGTGATTTATCGGATGTTCTTATATAGTTAATCTGGTTTCCTCTCTCTTGCGATTTCCAAGTTTGGTCTCGACTTTCATTTATGTAACAGGAGCGGACTGGCCATATGGAAAATGTGGAAAATTCCACATGGGCCGTATACAATTTGGGCCGTTTTTTTTATAAATATGTACATAATGTACCGTTTGGTTAAGTTTAATTTTAAAAAATTCATTTATTTTTTTTTGTTAAGTAAGGTAAATTTCAATTTTTAGGTATAATATAGGTATATGTGTAGGCCTGTATCATTTTACCCGGCCCCACCCGTATCCGAAGCTAAATTAGTTCAGCCGATCTGAGTTAAACACCACATTAGCCCGATTCGGCCCAAACAGAAAGCATCCTAGGAGAAAAATAATCAAAACTACTTTCTAAACAGAGAAAATTGGTCATTTGTTCACATTGCTAGAAACTGTTCACCACTCCTATGAATCTTAATGCTAAACTATAAAAATGCAAGTTATTAGTTTTGTACCTACCTAGCCACCAAAGCAATGATTGTAGTCATAACAAATTTAATGGCCACTTATATTATTTCCTTTATTTTAGACAAGTAAAAACTGTTATTCAATAATAATTTCTCTGTATTCCAAACGATTTAATTAAAAATAATCTATTTTGTAGTGTGAGGTCGGGACCTCGCCCCCTCTCCAATGGGAAACTGGTTGTCCAGCTAAAGCTAATAAATCGATGATTTATTTCGTAAACAGGAACGAGTGTAAGACGATTTAATTATCGCATTCCCGGACCAAATTCACACGTCCTCGATCTAGATCAGGGAAGGTGGGAGAGAGAGCAACCGGGGAGAGTTCGACTGTCATCTTACAGCGAGTTCAAAGCACATTAGACAAAATTTACGGGACTATCACTAAATATTCCTGAAAACGCATTTCAAAAATTAAGCTGTATTTTAATACAGTTTAATCCAGTAGCCACTCAACACAATATTATTTCAGAATAGCAACATTTTAAATCGTTATGGAATATTTTAAAGGGAAATGTCAATGAAACTTTTATAAAATTAAACGAAAATGAACATTCTACTGATGATCAAGTAGAAACTAATAAAGATGCGATTTTATCCTCTTACTGCATTGCTTGCAAAAATTGCTCTATTTGTTGTTATAATATATTATTCAGATATAACGTGTTAAGTGGCGCTTATTCTATACTTGGTCAAGCATACAAATATCTGCTATCTATGTCTGTAACACAAGTGTCCGGTGAACAAAGCTTTTCTATGTTAAAATTAATTAAAAGCAGGCTAAGATACTTATAAGTATCTCGCAAGAAAATCTAGAAGCCTTC